ATGCTCCCAGTATAGCTTGAATTTATAATTAGGGAATATTATACATATTTATCATAGAAAAATTATTATTCCAAAACCAGAAGTATCAAATTTTCAAGTTAAGTATTGTAAAATGTTTGCACTCTGTACAATTAGTCCTCAAACTTGTTTATATGCTAGAGACACTTGGGAAGATTGAAAGTATCACTAGCAGCAGGCTGCACCCACAGCAATTAAAGTAGAATTGGGGTCAGACCCAGGCGACCACATTTTTAAACTCTCCGTGTGACTGCACTGTGCACCCAAGGTTGAAAACCACTCTTTTGAAATATCAGCTTTTGGTTCATGCTAGCCAGAAGTTCCTAGGAATGGCTGTCACCTCATTTTGATGATTCTCTACTCAGTGTTGTTCTGGGGTGCTAGTGATTCCATTAGCTTAGAGTAGGGGTTGGCCAACTATGGCCCATGGGCCAAACCTTGCCTGTGGCTTGTCTTAGTGGGGCCTGCAAGGTAAGAATGGTTTCTACAAATTTGAGTTGTTGAAAAATCAAAAGAGTAATATTTCTTGACACATGAAAATTGTTTGAAACTCACATGTCGGCATCCATAGATAAAGTTTTATTGCAACACAGCCATACTGTATCTATTGCAGCTTTCATTCCACAATAGTGGAGCTGAATCGCTACAACAGAGACCAAATGGCCCACAAAGCCTCAAGTATTTGTGAATCTGGACCTTTCCAGAAGAAGTCTGTTGACCTCTGACTTAGAGGAAGTGTCCTAAAATCAGACGCACAGTAACTCTGGCAATGGCTGACAGCTCTTTTGGCAAATCACAGAAAGAAGATTTACTGTAGTTACTTGTGACTTCATTGTAGATTTACTGTAGTTACTTGTGACTTCACTTCCTCAGTAGTTCATTCATTCATGGTGTTCTGGGTCAGGGGTGGAAAGTGAGTAAGGGACCACCATTCACTATCAAGTTGGCTCAAGTCACCAGATCTAGAGTTTCTTTTATACATATTTTATGTACTTATATTTTATTATAAATAACTATTTATATTTTATTTATTTTTATATACTGATCAAATGCAACTTTCGAAGATGTTCAAGTATTTCGAGATCCAAGGGATCTGTTAACCAATTAGCCACATTCAAGATTTGCTGTAGGTCACACCAATGTGACTACCCTTCCATCCTTGCTGCCTATTAAGGTAAACAGCACTCACTTTGACCCGGAAGGTTAAGTGCTTCTACTTGGCCTATGACTCCAAGATCCCAACATCCCCACTGAAATGACAGTGACCACGTCAGTGCCAGATCTCCCTTCTCATCTGTGGCCTGCACAAGTCAGCCACTTCAGAACTCTTCAAAGACGAAGATGTCCTTCTCGTCCCTATGTTTCTCAACATTGTGGGTGAAAGGAGTCCCTAACAGCGGCTGCTTGGTCCACCCACACACTGATGTTAAAGGCATTTCAATTCAAGTGACCACAGGTGGCATCTTTTGCGACTGCTTTTCCATGGCGTGCCTTGTAATACCAATGTTTCATTCTCTAGTGTCAATTGGATCCTTACTATCTTCAGATCCAGCTAGGTCTGGTGGACCCCAGATCCTCGTTTCCTTCGGGGCCCTTTGCTCGCATCCATTTTTTGGTGTCAAGTACTCTGTTAATCAAGGTTCCCACTTGCCTGTGCCACAATCCATCCTAGCTATTTCATAAAAATAAGACATCTTTAATAAAATATACTACATAGCATACGAGAACTCTGTGAGGGTCAGAAAAGTGGTTTTGGATGCTGCACAGCCAGGGCAAGCCCATTCACACTATGGGGCTATGATAGCAGAAAACACCACTGCTGTCTGCCCGCTACTTGACATGTGTGACAGAGACCGAATTCTAGAAACTCTGCTATGGTGCGGAGACCTCTCCCATCTTACGTAACTGACCCTGCACGTGGCCCCCACGTTACTCAGTTCCACCTCCAAGGCTCACTGTGATGCGTATGTTTGATACACGGAGATCTGTTTGGGACCCTAGACGCAAGAGGCTCTAGTACATGCACACGCACACTCACATAGGTCTCCATTCTTGTTTAGCTTTTCAATCTCTATAGTACAGGAAAGCATATGAGTGTTTACGAGTGTCACACTACTTGCTGAGTAAGCCAATTCATAGCACATTTCACAGAACCAATATTTTTTTTGCTATTATAAATGGTATATTCACAGTGAAAGTGTTATTTTCTATTTGTTGCAATTATTTTGTGTGTATTAGTCTTACATCCAATAAACTCGTTAATAGATATTATTTTTGTAGATTCTCTTGCATTTTATATGAAGACAATCATACTTACACTTTTGTTTCTTTTCATGTTTATACAATTATTAATGTATGTATGTATGTATGTATGTATGTATGTATGTATGTATGTATTCACTTATTTTGCCTTACCGCAATGCCTAGGAGACTCAGTTTAGACCTTGAGCAGAAGCGATTATGAGTCATCCTTGCCTCTTCTGATTTACAATGAAATACTTTCAATGTTTTACTACTACGTATGGTGTTTGTTGTCGGTATTTTTTAAATACCCATTATCGGTTTAAGAAAATATCTTTCGATTCCAGTTAGCTGAGAATTATCGTTGTTATACAATCTTGATTGGCTGTCGAATTTTATTGTACACCTTTTTTTCCTGGAATCTTTGAGATAATCATCCTTTTCTTACTCTTTTATCTTATTCATGTGTGGAATTACATTATGGATCTCTAATGTTAAACCAACATTGCAAGTTTGGGAGAAACACAGCTTTGTCATCCTGTATTATCTGTTTTACCATTGCTGGATTTAGTTTGCTATTATCTTATTTTTATTTTTTTGCATTTTTAGAACTAATTGAGATTGACTGGTAACTTTGTCTTCTCATGCATTGTCAAGAATACATTTAATATTTGTACTTTTATTTCTTCAATATAAAAAGATTATATTTTTACTAGAATTTGTCCATTCAATATAAATTTTCAAATTATCAGCATATCTTTTCCATAATATTTTCTTATCTTTTACATCTTTACTATAAGTGCAAGCTTGACATCTTTTCCATCCCAAAGTTTCTTATCCGTGCCTTCTAATTTTCTTGACCCATCTTGCCAGAGGTTTGTTCATTTTCTTATATTTTGAAAGTACTTTTATTCAACTCTTTCATATCTGTTATTTATTTCATTACTTTTGTTATTTTTTCCTTGACAATATAGAAAGGCATGAGATTATTTTTATTAAGAATAAGACAAATGAAAAGTCTTTTCATCTACTATCTGGTTTTCTTTTATAATTTTTATCCTTGAATAGCATGGATATCCAAATATACAATACATTTATTTACTTGGAAAAGACCTATGGGCAATGATGGAGATTTAAATCAAGTCTATCATGTCTATTCAATTCCGTTGCTGGAATATCAGATGATTAAGGGAGATGGAATTGCAGCACTGAAGTAAAGGAATTTCTATTGTAAGTGTATATGAACTTCATTTAAGAGGATAATGTACAATGTAGAAAGAAGTAGCAGTAGAAAGAGCATGGACCTTGAAATCATATACATATCTGGAATGTGGTCTGTCACTTACTGCCTATGTGATTTTAGGGAATACTCAATCTCTCTGAGCTTCAGATTCTATCATGTGGTAGTCAGTAGTGCTGTTTGCTAAGTGTTTCCATTTCTTCCCCATTCTGGGCACCTGATAGGACTGCACTTTCTGACCTCCTTTATTTGCGTGTGGTTGTGTACATGACTAGTTCAATGGTTTGTGAGTGACATGTCTTATTTCTGGGCAAGAACACATGGCTGTTGGCCTGAGTCCCTCTAGGGCCCTCTTCCCCTCAGGCACAGTGACTGACAATTTCCAATAAGAATTGCTCAGACCCCCAACATCCATCACCTTGTGATAGACATGCACCTGTCATGGACATGTAGTACAAGTGAGGAATAAGCCACTGCCATTTGGGGGCCGTCTATCACCACAGAATAGCTCAGTCTTTCCTGTCTCATATATCTCATTTGTAAATTAAAGCAACACCCTCTCAGGATTTTTTTCTGAAAATTAAACAATTTATACGATGAGGTTGTCACAGTGCTTCACATGACAACCTCATCGTATAAATTGTTTAATTTTCAGAAAAAAATGGCAGCTATAGTTATTAAATAATAAGCTGGTTTTTTTAAAGTGTAGAAAATTGGAATAAATGAGAGATACAACATCAGCTCATCTTTACAGGTAAGTCGTATCTTGCTCTCAACAGCGGGGTGCTTTACTTGTTGCTATCGATAAGACTTCCTAATGAAAGCGGAAAGATTAAACAAGAGAGACAGAGACTAACACAACAAGATAAAATGAGTTAAAGAACATTAAGTAGTTTCTTAATAAGAACCATAGGCTATACATATTAGTAAACAGACATTACGTCGTTCTTAGTAAACATAGGTACAAGATACTAATGTTTTAGAAGAGAATTAGTTTGAACAGGGTACCTTAAGTTTTCCGAAGAACTCTAGTACCTCAAATGGTCTGTGGAAAAATGTTCCATTCCCGTATACATTGAGGAAACTGCCTGCTATAGACTGAATGTTTATGTTTCAACCTAATGTCCAACGTGATGGTATTTGGTGGTGAGGCCTTTGGGAGGTGATTAGGTGACGAGGGAGGTGCCCTCATAAAGGCAATTAGTGCCATTATAAAAGAGACCCCAGAGAGCTCTGCTGCCCTTTCTGCCATGTGAGGACACAGCAAGAAAAGAGCCATTTATGAACCAGGAAGTGAGCTCCCACAAGACACTGAGCCTCAATTTTGGACTTCTCTGCCTCCAAAGTTGTGAAAAATAAATCTGCTGTTTATAAGCCACCCGTTCCATAGTGTGCTGTTATAGCAGCCTGAATGAATTAAGACACTACTCCTCTCTTCGAGATTCAAGTTGCATATTAGCACATTATCTTTAAAAATACTACAATATGGAAATCCTTTTACCTTCGTTTCTGTATGTCCCATATTTCTTTAATGGAAGGACACATTTTTGTTGCTGCCGTCTCTCCGACATAGTATCTTGTAGAACGAACTTGGAAGTGCTGAAATGAGAGAAATATACAGTGCATATAATATAATTAAAACAGCGCAAGTGATAGCAGTCTTTAACCATTTATCAAACAATATTTAAATTATCCATAAATGTAAAGACAGTCCTTTATTTGTTGAACTTTACTCATTGAGTACCATCAACACGAGTTTTATGAAATGCGAGTATCACTTATAACTTTACTTAATATGTTTTCCCTAAATAAATTCACTATTGTTTTCCACATGAAGAAAGGAGGGAATTTTCAAGGAGTCTAAGAAGCAATGGTTAGAAAATCAAAAGCTAATAGTGTCTGGTTGGACTAGCTTAAGCCATTTAAAGATCCCAAGCACAAAGGGATTACCGCATCCCTCCCCACATGCACTTAAAAAACAAAACAAACAAACAAACGAACAAAAACAAAAAACGAAAATACTACCGTGCAGCCAAGTAAATATAAGAAATAAATTCTGAATCTTCACATGATAGCTACTTTCACTTTTATTGAAAAAAA